ACGGGCCTCCAAGGACTGCCGCAGCCCCTAGAAGCAAGTCTCAACCCTAGTTGCTTGAAGATTGTAAGCCTGAGTGCAAGGAGGGCTTGGCTGCCTGCATTGTGGACGGGAGCCGTCGTACAAGAGTGTCTTGCTTGAATGGAGCAGCGGCACCTTCTCCGAGTTGCCAGGACAGTCCAACGCTTCTGTTCGTGCGTGAGGGTCGAAACCGCCACTTAGTTTCGCCTGTGCCAGTTCCAGTGAAAGTCGAAGAAGCTCCGATACGCCCGGAACCGGATGCTTTGGATCGTCGGATGCTCAGCTTCGCTTTGCTGGTTCTTTCAGGGATGAAGTTTAGATTTACATGGTTTCGGGTTTGGGGGGGTTCCGTGTCATCCCTGTCCGGGGTTGAAGTCAGGGTCTATTGAACGGTTTCAACGTTTAGCAAGTTCAGGTTCGGGATGTTGATTTTTACCTACACTATCATAGACTCCATGGATTATTTTAGCGTGTATTGCGTCATCTTCAAGCACGTGAAAGATGTCGAATGGCCACTGTGCCGCCAAAGCACCTGCGTGAAGCACGGAATCCTAAGCTTCCTCATATCAGGAAGAGGGGTGTGAGATCTGCGACTGGAGGGCCGCGACACCCGACATGCACCCCAACAACGATGACGCCTGCTAGACTTGTAACAAGCTTGTAACATGCAGGCTCTCTGCCACCAGCCTCAGCATCCAACGAAGGCAAGGAAGGGGTGTCGCAACCCATCAATTGCAGGTGTTGTCGGCATCTCACAGTCTTCAATCTTTAACTTTGTGAGATTCTTGCGCTTTGTCAATCGTGTGGGAGGCTCGGGTTTTGGGTTGTTTGCAGAGTTCGTCTGTGGCGTTCTGAGGGGCTGTCCACTAGTGCTTAAGGAGCATCCCGACGGCCTTCACCTGAGTTTTCGGTCTGGGCAGATCTCCAGAGGGCAGAAAGCGACATGCCGTAGCATTCGAATGTCTAGAGTCTAACCTATGTTGGCGACACTGCCAAGCGGGAGCCAAAAAACCTATGTTGAGAAAGCCCCCTCAACCCTATGTTGAGGGGTTGCCCGGAATGCTGCTGTATGTCTGTGTGTCTGTGTGTCTGTGTCTCTGTGTGTGTGTGTGCGCGCGCGCGGGTGTGNNGTGTGTGTGTGTCTGTGTGTGTTTGTTTGCGATTGCGCTTCCACAGCCACAGCCTCGAAGGTCAAAGCCGAAATTCTCAGTAGCGCAGTCTCTGGAGAAAGCTTGTTGCTCGGGTGTGCGATCGCGGCTTTGAACTGTGAACTTACGCCTTTCTGTAGATTTGGCTGTCCTTCGGTGTTGGTGTCGGAGGCAGCGCCGGTGCAGAGGCCAAACCGTCGCGCCGGACTCAGTTGGGGAAGTCGGGCCCCTGTGCTCGCCCTCAGTTCAGGCAGTGGTTTCGAATAGCCAGGGGTGAAGAGTGCCTCAGCTTGAAGCCATGAGACGTCAGACTTACTGAAACGTTGCCAGGGTGCCCCTTTGCCCTGGCCACGGGGAGCCTTGCCGCGAAGTGGAGGTGAAGAAGGAAGGCGACAATCTCTTGCACTGACGGTGCAGGTAGAAGCCCGGATTTGGTTCACAACTTCCCTTCGAGTCGCCTTGCAGCTGGTAGCAACGACCGGGTGAGAGCCTCGATAGTTTAGTACGCCCGCTTCGGGAATCAGTCGTCAAATCCATCTAAAGGTCTTTATCGGGGGTGGCTTGTGTGAACTAATCACACACCGATTGTTGAAGCAGCCGGCTGGGCAGAAACCTGTAGCTGAATGAACCTTCCAGATCGAGCTACCACCTCAGGGGAGTAAGGCTCTGCCCTGAAAGGTCTACTGTAGGCACCTGAACCCGAAATAAGTCGTACTCGATTCCCTTAGGGTTCCTTGTTGTAGCTAGAGTGGTGTCCTAAACCTTTTTCCAGTTGCCCTGAACTACTACCACCCCTCCCGGCTGACCCATAGACCGTAAAATGCGACAGAAAAGCCTGCACCTCCGGCAATCTTGTTTTAAACATTTCAACTTTGTTGTCGCAAATGGGCTGTTGAGACAAATCCTTGGAACTTAAACTCCAATTATCCCCTAAGCCCTAACCCCTTAAATGGCCCCATTCCCATGATCCCACATGATCCGGGAGGTCCTAACAAAGGGCGACACTTCTTCGCCTGTCCCAGGCCGAAGCTGTTTGGCCCCTTCAAAAGTTGTTTGAATAAGGGTTTTCTGTTGGCCCTTTTTCTCCGTTTTTGTTGGCTTCACGTTTGGGTTTTAGGGTTTCTTTGACTTAGGGCGTGTAGTGCTTGGTATACTCGAGCGGGGCACCTTCTAATTCTAGCCCCGGAAATCGGATTCGCTGCTTCCGGTGTTTCAATGCTTCCGGGACAGGGCGTTTGCACCGGTGTTCGTGATCCCCTCGCAACTTTCGACTCGACGCGGCCAGCAGCGGATGGGAAATCCTAGGGCCAAGGGAGTGTAAGCCCGAGTCCAAGATATCCAAGCATTGGAGAGTCCCAAGCCAGGTCAGGTGGTGTTGCCCAGGGTATCCATCAGCCCAACGAGCCTCCGGACGAAGAGCTTGTCGAGAGAGCCATTCACGGAATGAGTTAGAGTCCCCGATCTGCAGAGAAAGCAGCTACAATCAACTACAACATGCTTGTCCCACGAGGGAACAAGACAAGTGAAACGTCTAGGGGGCCTGGAGTATAGATAGTTGGGGAGAATGTGGGGGCATGAAAACCAATTCAGGGCTCTGCGATCATAGGCGTAGCCTCTTCCTGCTTCTGAGCCGGGTTCTTCGCCTCTCTGCCTGTTCATCTGTGGCATAATTTGGGCTCCAGGCCTCGCGACCAGCAGTGCGATTTCTTCGCGTGGGCAGCCAGGGTCTCAGCCCAAGGCTCAGGAATGATAATAGCAATAATAATAATAATATTGATAATAATTAACAATAGTAATATATAATATTGATAACATCAACAATGATAATAATAAAAATAATAACAGTAATAATAGTAAGGTTAAGTTTAACATAAATACAGTTTTTCGTTTTTTGGGTGATTACAATTGTTCAGTAGGAATGGAGATGTTAAGAGGCCATATTTCCTAGAGGCAAGGATTCCTGGACACCATAGCTTCCCTCCCTCTAGAGCTTGGCAACTTCTCAATACGCAGACTTGGATGCCATGGCCCAGTGGTGGGCATGTTCAGGCTACCGTGACAAGCAAACACGCGGCCACTGCCCATACAGGGCTCCACCATTCCGTGATGGTGTTGTAGTTCGGGCACCTTATTTTCGTCACTTCGAGGATCCTGGCGGCACAAGAGTTCAAAAGAAGATCGGCACAACAACAGTACACGACGTGGCCCCAGGACTTTGGAGAGTTGTGAATTTCAGTGTGCAACAAACCCGACAACACCTGTAGAGGATTCATATCTCCTTAAAACTTGTAGCGCACCCTGAACCCTGGACGCTAACCGCTAAACCGTACATTCCTTTGTCTGGGGTTCGGATGAACTTTGTTGATTTGTTGGCTACAGCTGAACAATGTCATTCCCACTCAAGGCTACATCTCACATCCAACCGACCACGCAGCAAAAACCTCGCCTAGCATGCCCGAGTGCGAGTCACTGAACTCCTGGGTTGCTGTTACGGAATTTCTAATCTAAGTGAGACAATAACAAGGTTTCCTTATGTTAGTAACTCAACTGAAGTTCCTGAACAGCAACCCAGACTAAGCCAGGGACGGGTGTCCAACCGCAGGATCGGCCACTGCCAGAGCGACGCAAACACCCGAGGAAGATGCGTTCTTATGGGGTTTTGGGGTTGTGGGGAAGTTATGGGAGCTCCTGAGGTTTAGGGTTTGGGGTTTCGGGAGATATTAGGGTTGTAACGTTGAGGATGTGGTGTCGGGGGGGTCGGGGGACAGGGCTTGGAGGGTTCAGGACCTTAGGATGCAGATGTTCAGGAGTCGGGGCTTTTGCGGTTTGGAGTTTCGAAGTCTGCAGAATGATTCTTTGGGTTGCTGCATGTCCAGCTAACGAAGACCCAACCCCAAATCTTTTCCCTGGAGTGTTCTGGGCCGTTGACTGAAACTCCTTCCAGCACGAACAGACGAGATCCCGACACTTGAACTCATCAGGCATAGAGGCATAGAGCGGGCCCAAAGAAGCAAGACAAGTGTGAGGTTCAACAAAACCCGGGTCAGAGGCTGAGGCTGAGGATCGAACAAAGCAGCTTAAGCAAGTACCAATTTACCATTCCTTGGCTTCTTGAATACTATGATTAGTAACGAGTAGTGAATTTACTGACAATACGATAATATATGCCCAAACCCTGTTCTAACCATTTAAGGTCTCTATGTTACCGTCCACGGAAGACGAGAGATTTTCCGAAGCCTCACGAGGTATCGGGATTGGCGGTTTAGGGTTTAGGGTCTCACGTGCTCAAAAAGGGTTGGTGAGACGTACGGCTCCAGTGATAGCGTTTCAGGTGCATGGAGCTTTGGCCTTGACCTTTTTTCAGTGGCCTGGGATTTAGTGCTAAGGTCCTGGTTCCGTCTTACATGATCCATAGAAACGCACTTGCTTCGAGCATCACACTTTTGAAGCCACCCTTGGCTCAAACTCATGTCGGGAGGGCCGAGAGAGTGCGCCTTGGCTTTGACCCTTTCTGGGCTTTGGGTTTTGCGCTGCAGGGTTTGGATGTATTTTCGTTGCAAGGCTGCAAGGCATATAGATTAGGTTGGCATTCAGGCTGGGCATAGAAGTCTACAGACACTGAACCGTGAAATCCGGCCTCGTGCTCTCGCCCCTGGGACTACAGCCATCTGCAACTCGAAGTCGTCCACAAGCCTTCCTCCAGAGAGCTCAACCCACAGAGAAAGAAGATCTCCATTGCATGCCCCTGCAATGCAAGATGTGCACCCGGAAGGGAGGTTACAAATCTAGGGCACAACACCCCAAAGCTCACCTCCAAACATTCCAAGGCTTGCCATGAAGCGGCAGGGTGCCCCCGTCTTGACGTTCGTAGGCTGGCAGGGGTGACGAGGGCAATATGGGGTACGGTTTGAACTTCCGAACCCTGAACCCAAACTAAAATCCTAACGCCCCAAAGCGGACTCGTCAGACTGTTATTGCAGACCTTGCCAGGCTTGTCGGGAGTGTGAGTGTCCAAAACCCCGGCCTGAAGTCGTGCCCTTACTTAACGTGACCCTGGAGTCTAGCACGGCAGAGAGAGAGGAGCGACCCGTACTACGCCCAGATGATGACCGTCTCACCTTCTTGTTTTGCGACAGCGACCGAGACTCGACTGTTTCGATCTATATTGCTTCTTCGAAAGAGCCTGCGACCTGAACCCAAATCCTAAAGCCCAAACTCCGAAGCCAGCCCTGGGAAGAGGTGGAGTGGCGCAGAGCATCGATGCGCTTGTGCAGATCCTCGAGACAAACTTGAAGGTCTTATCCCAGGAGGACCCTTGGGTTAGGGTTCAGGGTTACTATCAGAATCAGGACTAGTGTAAGAGTTGTTGGGGGGTGAGAGGGCAAAGGGGTCGGAAAAGGATGGAGCGAGGAGACTAGAGTGACTAAAGCCTCGGCGGACTGAAAGGGCTCCTGGAGTTAAGAGAGCATAGGGCTTGGTTTCAGCTAGTCTGTTAAGGACTCAAGGACTATCAATCTAAAAGCTACAGTGGAAACCTTGGGGCTTCAGCTTTGAGAGGCGTCTTCCGGTACACAACTCAAGGTCACAAAGCTTCCGGAACTCGAAGCCATGAAACCTGCACTCCGATCTAAGAAGGTCCTAGCATCTTCTTCGAGTAAACCGGTATGCGGGAATAGTTCAACCCCCTCCTACAAAAGAGATGATCACAAAATGACCCTAACTTCGTGTCTAGTTTTGGTACATGATCGTGTCTCTTTAATTTCGCTTGTTGGCACAGGGGCCCCAAACAGCTAAGTGCAATGAAAGCTTCTTTGTCCCCCCCCTGCATGAGTGCAATATTCCAGGCTTCATCACACCTAAGGCAAACTGACATGGGCTGAAACCGATCAAACCCCACTTCTGCCGCCAGGAGGATGGCAGCATTTCTGAGAACATCTGTGCTTTGGCAAAAACGAGCTTGGCTAGTCGAGGCGGCACAGCGGAAGAGTTCGTAACGACATTCCAATATTCTCGTAGAGGTCCTTATATGAGATACGTATATTAATGTATATCATAATTACCCTCAAGACCTCTCATTATATCATAGCTACAGTTGCCCCAAGATGTCGTATATCACAATT